AAAGTGTCCCTGGGTGAGGATAAAAGTAAAAAAAAATAACAAATAAAAACTATAAAATAATCACAACAAAGATTTTAAAATCATATGCCACAAGCCTGAGCACTTTTAGTACACTTGCAACCTGCCTTTTTACTCATTTTAAGTTTCACCAGTAAAATAAACCTATTAGTTATTATCCAAATGAGGACAACTCTGAAAATAAAATGGGACTCTACCAGTAATTATACCAGTCAACAGGCACAGACTGGGGCTGACCCAGAAAATCATGTCACTATGTTTATGTGACACCTTGGTCTATGGGGATGTTCAGTGATATAGTATACAAAGGTATGCTGACAGAATGACCGATGACACATTTGCAAAATGCACAACATAGACATGCCCAGGGTCATCTCCTCTGGAAACCATGAGTCTCTGGGAAGTGCACTCCTGCACTCTTAGAACCATTACTACCTTTTTTGATAACTCTTCTGAGTAAAAAAGGAGGTGTCATTAGAAATTGTTTCGTACACAAAATTATAAATTCTTATAAAGACAATTCCAAAAGAAAAAATTTAAAACCATTTTGGGCCATGGTGTTATTGGAACAAGTGTTTACTTCACAAGGGGTACACTCTTCAAAATAATGCCTATTTGGATGTGCAAATTCTAATTCATTTTACATTATAAGGGTATATATAATTATTATTCTATACACTTTAATAAACAAAACAAGTATTTCAGAAAGCCATCCCTAAAACAAACAAACAACCTATTCTCAAATATTAAAATAAAAGGCAATACTAATCTCTAAGCTGAGTAGTAAGTATGCAGGTGATTATTTCTTAATAAAAACATATTTGTTTGCTGGTTAGAATATATGTTGATAAAAATTATTTTAAAAGAAAAGCAGAAAGTAAAATCCTTAGAATATGGTACTACCCTTAAATACATTATTGTACAACCTGCAAGGCACTTCAAAAACTAAAGCTAGGAGGTACGTCTGAGTATTACTAACAGGAACTCAACTTAAAGTAAAAGAAAGGAAGAATAACAATATTCGTTTTTTCAAAGCAAAATGTGCAATTCTGTTGTCAGGATTACTTATATAAGTATAGATAGAAGACTAAGAATTGAAAAATGTGATAGTCTCTCACATGAGTCATGGTACTTGGAAGTTATGTTTTAAAGGGCATTTTTATGAAGGACTCATAATTACACTGTTCTCATTTTCAAAAACATATAAAGCGAAGGATCTAGGTCTAGCACTACTTCATATTTGGTTTACTTGTACCTTTCTGTAAATACTTTGAAGATTTACTTCTGCAATAAGAAATTATACTAATTCCAAAGTCTAAATTACTAGGCAAGATTCTTATTAAGGGTTATTTTCCTATCTTTCACATGTTAGTGTTGCTTCTTTTTTAAATAAGATTCCATCAAAGATTTTGAACTATTAAAAGTTATTTCCTAAGGGATAGATATTATCTCGGTCTTCCCCTACTTCCTTTTTTCGCTCTCCATTAAAAGCTACCTGCTTAGGTACTACTCCAAATAAAGTTTTTCTGGTTTGCTTCTAACTATAGTGTAATGCCGTTGTTTTCAACCCATTAACTCAAATGCCCAAAATGGATACCTAGACAACTTTCAAAAGAGGTTTTTGTGATCAATATGATTGTGTGCTTTCATCTTCAGACTCATACCGCACACTGTGGAAAGTATTATGACCAACATAGTGTTGGAGGAACAAGTTTATTTTATTATATTTTGATAATTAAATTAAAAAATGTTTAATATCTTAAATGCCAAAGTCTTTACCTATAAAGGATTGTATACCATCCTAGATAATGTGCTTAATGCTAATGACTACTTTTGTTTCCATGAATGAAGATAAGTAAGAAATTGAAAAATCAATAATGCTTTTTAAATTTTTCAGTCCATTGTAATGCGTTTTAGTCATGAAGAACGAGCTTGGCATAGTGAAAACAGAAATAAAAGAATTAAAGACTTAAAAAAAAAAAGCTAGATTTTACCTCTCTTTGTGTAACTATGACCATTTAAAGGTCTGGCTCATATAAAATACGCTGTGTGTATTGAAAAAAAAGCTGTGCCTAAAAAAGGGAGGGAAAAAACCCTAAAAAGATAAAAACAGTACAACGTTGCTGTGATAGCAGAGGTTCACCTGTGTCATATAACATCAGCCATCAAAGTGTGAGGCAGGCCAGGAACTGTCTGATTTGTACATTTTCAGGCCATTAAAAATGAAGGGCCAGACTGTATCACACATGAATGTTAAAAAGCACCCCGAGGCATAGACAGGTGACTCGGTTGGAACATTGTCCCATACATCAAAAGGTTGCTGGTTTGATCCCCTGTTGGGGTGCATGCCAAAGGCAACTGATCAATGTTTCTCACATCTCTCCCCACCCTCTTCCCCTCTCTCTGAAATCAATAAAAAAATTTTCTCGGGTTAGGATTAACAGCTATTCAAATGCTAAATGATAAAATATTTTAGTAAACAAATACGATTTCTGCATTATGTATATTTTCTGCATGTTCTAAATGCATGTTAAAACACGTGCATATCTGGCTTACTTTCAGAAAACATTTCTAACTTCTTGTATGCTAAGTCCTAAGCAAGTAGTGCTCCTGTAATTGAGAAAAAAATGTCAAATCAAATATTCTTACAAATGTTACTGTAATAAAACCTCTCCATAAGATAAAAACTCTGGTGACTGGGAAATATCATGACTTTCATAGGCAGCACATATGCAGCTTGTATGAACACAAAGAGATTAACAAAGTAATTTTCTCCTACTAACACTATCTCTCTATAGCCAAAGAATCACAGAGGCTTATAAATGGCAAAATTAGCAGGTCAGGAACCAGTTGCATTTTTGCCATATGCCTGTTCACTGATACCACCTCAACAATTAGGCCAAAAAGTCACAGTAATGTAAATACTGGAATACTTCATAAATGAGAACTATGAGAAAGCAGACCTGACACAGGAATTGAGATTCCAGTTTTAAAAGGATTAGAAATGTTAGTAGTGCCTGGAATTTAAAATTATTTAGGAAATAGGAAGGACAGCTTACAAAAAGATACTTTAAAGTGGAGAAGTATCCTTCTAAAATTAGGGCAAGGATTTTTAAGTTTAAGACTGTTTCAAACACACCAATCATCATAAATCATTTTAAGTCAAGGAAGAGAGTGCTACTCGGTTTCACTGGAGGCTTAGTAAAGGGAAATAAAAGATGGAAAGCCAGATTTCTGTAAGACAACATTTCATGGGAGAAGTTTCAGCAAAGTGTTGCTAATAAGGCAGGAAACTGAGAAATACACCTTAGGAAGATGTTAATCACAAGTCTAAATTTTGGGAGTAATATGAACCACATCACTTATTAAAACACATGCATTTGTGTTTGTATGAATTTTGAGGGAAAGAAGCAGGAAAGGAGGGAGTATGTACCCATTCTAGGAAAGTGAAGTAAAACTAAAGCAAAAAAATTTGGGGGAAAAAGTTTTCTCTTTTAACTGGAACTCATTTTGTAAAGGGTTTCTTTTACAAACATTTTAAAAGTATTAAGCATTTTTCTTAGTAATTTAAAACCATATTTATTAAAGGTCCTGCCACAAAAGACTAATTTTAAAACACTGATATTCCACTCCTCTAAGTGGATTTCAAGCTACAGCCCAAACCAAAAGGCAATTAGAGTGGTTAGGAACGCAGTTGCCTAGCTCTATCACTACTAACCAGTAAACTTGGGCTAGTTCCTTATCTAGGCTCCAGTTTCTCATCTTAATCCATAGAAAATGCTGACCCAGGGTTTGTACATACACAATGCAAGTGTTCAGTAAATAAAATCTGCCTCTGATGTTACTCTTATCATTATTAACAATACTAAACACAGTTAAAACTGGGTCTTAATATTGTTTTAGTCATTAAAAAAAAATTAAGTATTTTTTAAAATGTAATTGAAAACTCAAATTATAGGGAGAGAAGGGATGACTATTCAGTCCTTAAAATAAAAACTTCAATAGGAATCTTTTTCTTGTAAACAATTTTCACTATATAGTTCTAAGTTCAAGAACTTCTGCCAGTATTTAAAAAAAAAATTATTTCTATGAAAACAAAAACTCAAAAGAAGCTGAATAAGAACTCGCTCAGTTTATAAATAGAAGCTATAAGTGAAATTTACATTGAAAGGTAAATTGGGAAATTCTTCCAAGATTCAGAAATAAAGCCAATTTAGTTATCTGTGGAATAAGAGAATCAAGGGTAAAACAGTGGACAAATCCATAGAAGAAAACCCTTAAACCAAATTTGTATGTTAGTTTTAACATTATCCCTCTCTAGCCCACCATCAAACCTTTTTCCCAATTGCTGATGAGAAAATTTAACTTCTGTGAGTTCCTTCAATCTTGTTATCCTTCCTTACCATTAGGAAGAGCTACTAAAAGCAAGAAAGTAGCTAAAAATTGAACTGGGAACAGAGGAGAAAAACAAGACCTAGATAATCAAACCTGTGGATAATCTAAAATGGATTAAAATTTATCATTTTATAAAATGATCTAAAAATTGTTTTATTTTAATTAGTAGAAAAATCAGAAATAAGACATATGTTAATAATGCAGATTAAATACAAAAGTCTGCACTATATCTGTAGTAGTAATGTGAATGGCACACAAGATATTCCTGAGTTATAGAGAAACAAGATGGCTCACATCATGGACAGTCTTATATATGTCTTTTCCCCTACATTTATCTTACTCTTAAGTTAAAGAAAAATATTAACACAGCCAAACTATACTTTTTCATGAAGTGCAACCACAGGCTGGCTACAGAAAGAAGAGTTTGGCAAAACTCAGTGAAAGCATTCTGTGAAAACTAACTGGCTATATAGAATTGGCAATAATAGTATACATTTTACTATTATTTATAAATTCTTTGCAGCATTCTGTATACCAGTAAAATTTATAAACATAGTGTACTAAAAAAGTATGGGATAAAACAATACCTGAATATCTTTCTTGACTGGTTTAGTTTTGTTATCCACAACTTTCTTCCTGAATTCAAGAAGAACTTCTTTACAGTCCTCAAGATGAACCTCAGGCTCCCAGGTATCATCATCTGATGTGTATCCTTTCCATCGAACTTTGTAAAGGATTTTACCCTGTTATATAAATTAAAAACAGACAAATAATGGATATTACTGACTTGATCAAACTTCCAAAACCATACAATTGCTGAGAATATAGGAATAGACTTTAAATGGAGATTAATATTATAAAGTATGTTTGTATCCTGATGTGGCTAAAAAAAAAAACCCACAGGAGCACACAAAAAGCAAAAACAAACAAGTGAGACTACATCAGACTAAGAAACTTCTGCACAGCAAAGGAAATAATCAATAAAATGAAAAGGCAGCCTACTGAATGGAAGAAGGTATTTCCAAAACATGTAAGGGGCTAACGAACAAAATATATAAAGAATTCATACAACTCAATAGCAAAAACCCAAACAATCTGGTTAGAAAATGGGTAGAAGATCTAAATAGACATTTTTCCAAAGAAGATATTAAATGACCAACAGGTACATGAAAAGGTGTTCAACATCACTAATCACCAGGGAAATGCAAATAAAAACCACGGAGATATCACCTCATGCCCGTCAGAATGGCTGTTATCAAGAAGGACAAATAAAACACATATTGATGAGAATGTTGGGAAAAAACAAAACAAAACCCTATGCGCTGTTGGTTGGAATGTCAATTGGTGCAGTCACTATGGAAAAAGGCATGGAGGTTCCTCAAAAAGTTAAAAATAGAACTGACATATGCTCCAGCAATCCCACCTCTAGGTATTTATTTGAGCAAGATAAAAATACTAACTTAAAATGATATGTGAACCTCGATGTTTACTGCAGCATTATTCACAATAGCCAAGGTATGAAAGCAACCTTAGTGTCCATCAACAGATGAAGAACATGTGGTGTGTATACACACGCACACACAAGAATGTTATTCAGCCATTAAAAAAGAAAGAAATCGGGCAGAACACAGACAAATGGCTGACTTTGGCCTGCACCTCCAGAAGGACCCAGAACCAGTGTACCTTCAGACCACATTGGAGCACCACTACCCAAACATCTTCAAAAGCAAAACACTCAAGGTGTGGCCTCAGCAGGCACCAAGCCTGGCTGAAGTATGTCCTGCTCTATGGAGTGGGCTCCTGGACAGCTGATCCTCCATGATGGTCAAAGGTTGGTGGTCCACAGTCAGGCCTTGAAGTTGATCAGCCTGAGTAAATCCTTCCATTGATGTGCTAACAGCATTCAAGGCCAGGCTCACTACAAGAGGAGGGTGTACACTGTGCACATGGTGGTCAGCACTCCTCAAGTACCCAGCCTGGGTGATAGGGGAGGCTGTGCCACTGGACCCTACAGGACATCTACTTCATTAAGCCATTCTACCAAGACTGGGAGATGTAGCAGCTTTATCTAATACACAGAAACAAAACACAGTGAGGCTGCCAAAATGAGGAGACAAGGGAACATTGCTCAAATGAAAGAGAAGAACAAAACTCCAGAAAAAGAACTAAACAAAATGGACAGAAGCAATCTACTAGATGCAGAATTCAAAACATTGGTTATAAGGATGCTCAAGGAACTTAGTAAGAACCTCAACAGCATAAAAAAGAACCAATAAGGAATGAAGGACACACTAATTGAAATAAAGAAGGAATGAAGGACACACTAACTGAAATAAAGAGTAATTTATAGGGAATCAACGGTAGAGTAGGTGAAGCCACGAATCAAATCAACACTTTGGAATACAAGAAGCAAAACACACCCAGTCAGAACAGAAAGAAGACGAAAAAATCCAAAAAAATGAAGACAGTGTAAGGAACCTCTGCGACAACTTCAAATATATCAAGATTTGCATCATGGAGGTGCCAGAAGCAGAAGAGAGTGAGAGATTGAAAACCTATTTGAAAAAATGATAGAAAACTTCCCTAACTTGGTGAAGGAAACATACAGAAGTTCAGTAAGCACTGAGTACAAGATGAACCCAAAGAGGCCCACCAAGACACAGCATAATTAAAATGTCAAAGGGTAAAGAGAGAATCTGAAAAGCAGCAAGAGAAAAGCACTTAGTTACCTACAAGGGAGCTCCCCATAAGACTGTCAGCTGTTTCTCAAAAAAAATGTTGCAGGCCAGAAGGAAGTGGCAAGACATATTCAAAATGATAAGTAGCAAGAACTACAACCAAGATTACTTTACTCAGCAAAGCTATCATTCATTTAAAATCAAAGTACAGATAGTGTCCTAGACAAGAAAAAGCTGATGGAGTTCATCACCAACAAGCCAGTATTATAAAATGTTAAAAGGTCTCCTTTAACAAGGTGATAAAAAATATGAACAAGAAAATGATAATAAATACATAGATCTATCAACAATTGAATATAAAAAAATAAATGAACAAGCAGGGCAGAAACAGAATCATAGGTATAGAGAATATTTTGATGGTTACTAGATGGGAGAGGGATTGGATGGATAGGTGAAAAAACTAAAAGGATTAAGGAAAGTATAAATTGGTTGTTACAGAATAGTCATGGGGATATAAAGTACAGCATAGGGAATATAATGTTATATGCCAATTACTTCAACTTAAAAATAAACACAGTATCATTGATTCATTTTTAATAAACTGAAGCTGGAGGTCTTATACTATATAAGCAATGTATAATCTTTGAAAAGTCAATAAAAAACAGGAATGACCAAAAAAAGGAAAAAAAAAAAAAAAGAAAAACATGGAAAACCAAATAAAGGTCACCCAAAAATATCGACAACAATTTGACCTATTCACCTTTTGAATTTTTAGACATTAAAACACTGTCATAATACTATCATTCTTGTTTTTCCCACTTACAGATTGCATACATCTTGCTTTAGTATATTGAAAAACACTTCTTAAACTCCGGCCATTATGGAGGTGTAGGTCCGATACACTTTGCCTCTTTGCACAACCAAAAGGACAAAAACAAATTGAGACAAAAAACAACCAGAACTGCCAGAAAATCGAACTGTACGGAAGTCTGACATCAAAGGAATTAAGGAAGAAATATTCATCCAGACTGGGAGGAGGGGCAGAGATAGGAGGGGCGGAGATGGGCAGGCAGAGATGGGCAGCTGAGGTGCAGAGGATGCGCAGGAACGTCGAGGCTGGAGGACTGGGCAGGTGGGTCCCACATTTGCATGCAGATAAACCAGTAGGAAAAATGGGGGAGCGAGACTAGACAAACTGCACAACCCAGGGTTCCAGCATGGCAAAAGAAAGCCTCAAAACTCCTGGCTGCTGACACTTGTGGGGTGGGGGGTGGCCAAGATGGAGGCATAGGTAGATACACTTTGCCTCCTTGCATAACCAAAAGAAGGACACCAACAAATTTAAAGACAAAAAATAACTAGAACTGTCAGAAAATCAAACTGTATGGAAGTCCGACAACCAAGGAGCTAAAAAAGTAGCATTCATTCAGATCGGAAGGAGGGGCTGAGACAAGCAGCCAGGCAGAGAGGACACCCAGCAAGGCGGCACCTGGAGGACCAGGCAGGTGAGGTGGCGGCTGGAGTGCCACATTTGCATGGGGATAAACTGAGGAATAGCTGGGCAGTGAGAGGGACTGCGCAATCCAAGGTTCCAGTGCAGGAAAAGAAAGCCTCAAAACCTCTGGAGGTAAAAACCCGTGGGCATTGCAGCAGCAGGAGAAACTCCCAGCCTCATAGGAAGAGTCCATTGGAGAGATCCACTGGGTCTTAGAATGTACACAAACTCATTCACCTAATAATCAGTACTAGAAGGGCCCAATTTGCTTATGGGTAGCAGGGGAAGTGACTGAAAGACGGCTGAGAGCCAGGCAAGTGGCAATGTTCCCTCTCGGACCCCTCCCCCAGATACAGTGGCACAACGCAGCAACCTGGGTTGCCTAGCCCTGGGCAAATACCTAAGGCTCTGCCACCCCCAACATAAGAGGCACGCCGTGACAAAGAAATATGCCCCAAATGAAAGAACAGATCAAAACTCCAAAAGTAGAAATAAGCGATGAACAGATAGCCAGCCTATCAGATGCACAGTTCAAAACACTGATAATCTGGATGCTCACTGAATTGGTTGAGTATGGTAACAAAATGGAGGAAAAAGTGAAGGCTATGCAAAGTGAAATAAAGAAATATATACAGGGAACCAAAAGTAAAGGGAAGGAAACAGGGACTCAAATCAAGGATTTGAAGCAGGAGGAAGAGATAAACATTCAACCAGAACAGAATGAAGAATTCAAAAAAGTGAGGAGACACTGAGGAATCTCTGGGACAACTTTAAATGTTCCAACATCCAAATCATAGGGTTGCCAGAAGGAGAAGAGGAAGAGCAAGGAATTGAAAATCTTTTTGAAAAAATAATGAAGGAGGGAATATGCTGGAGGGTAGGGTGGTGCAAGTGGATGGGAAAAAAGGAAAGAAAAAAAATGGGACAACTGTAATAGCGTAATCAATGAAATATTTATTTTAAAAAGCAATTAAATTATTACAGCACATTAATAGAATGAAGGAAAGGAACCACATGACCATTTGAGTTGATGTGGAGAGAGCATTTGTCAAAATCAATACCCTGTCATAAAAATGCTCAGTAAACTAGAACAAGAAGAGAACTTTCTCAACATGGTGAAAGCCATGTTGAAAACCCAAGGCTACAGTCATGTGCTACATAATCACATTTTGATATACAATGGTCTGCATATATGATGGTGATTCCGTAAAATTAAAATGAAAAATTTTCTACTGCCTAGTGCTGTAGCAGTCATAACTTCATAGGATAACACTTAAGTATTTGTTGTGATACAGGTGTAAATGAACCTATTGTGTTTCCAGTCAAATAAAAGTAGCATATACAATTATATACAGTATCTATTACCTCATAATTATAATAAAAAGTACAGTATGGACTGTACTACACACACACACACACACACACACACACACACACACACACACAAAACCCCCCAAAACACCTTAAGATATGAGCGACAACAAAGGAATGGTGACCTAAGAGATCCTCCTTGGTCTCTCCCCCTGGAATTTCAAGAAATTGATCAGCTAACTAAACAAATGAGTCCCTG